AGAACGTTTGTCGAGGGATTGGCTTCACTTTCCTGCTCATGGGAATCATGACAACTACTATGACAGACGACTTCGGACTAGGTGCGTTCTACATGGTCGTCAAAGAGACAAGAGGAGTGATAGTGTAACCGTTTTCGGCAGAACGTTTGTCGAGGGATTGACTTCACTTGTCTCTGATGCGTTCGTAAGTGTAACCGTTTCCAGCAGAACGGTTTGTCGAGGGATTGACTTCACTTGTCTCTTTGACGAGTTCGTGCTTGGTGCGGAGAATGGCAAGGCTCACTGATGATGCCGACTACGATGCCGGCGAAACGTCTGAGAATGTACTAAGTCCACAGTCTGATGCTGGGAATCATGAAAACTACTATGGCAGACTACTTCGGACTAGGTGCGTTTTACTAAGTCACACTTACAACAAGACCAAGTTGCGACAACGAGGTCAACCCACTTATATTAATCTAACATGTTGGACAAGTGTGAGTGAAGTTAGAACCATCACCGAGCGGACAAGTTAAATCTCATTCTTTTGGATGGCGGCTCAACACTCTCCCTATCCTTCAACCTATCAATCAAGCATAAGTAGTTCCTACTCAACTTTATACCACCGTTCTTCTCAACCAACTATTTCCTAAGCTATTCATTTCAATAGTCTCTCTTATCTTTCTTTTAACCAAAGACGTACCGTAATCAGCAAACTTACAAGTTTGAAACAATTTTATTTGATGTCCAGTTTCTACTTCTGACCGTTGGATCCAGCTACCTTTGCAAGCATTTTTGTGTTCTACCAATCTTTTTTGAATAGGTCGGCATGTCTTACCAACATAACATCGACCACATGAGCAATCTTATAGCAGCCTTATCTCGATAATGGGTCATATTTCCCTCTAAAAGATAGCATAACAGAAGAAAGTGTGAGGGTTTCTTTAAACACTGTTTTTATCCCCCACTTTCTTACTAATTGAGAGAAGGCATGACGGCAAAATTAGGACATGGAAAAAGGTCTCAGTCTATCTATCTTTGAATAAATGGTTTCCGTCTAAAAAAATATGCCTTAGTACAGAGATATTATTCTCAATAAGGCCCAAGGGATGATTATTTCCAAAGAATAAATTTGTCAGCTGTTCCAACTCTTTAGTCAAATGTTTGCTATCCGCTAGCCTCATACTTCTAATAATTATTGACCTCAAAATTTCAACCTTAGCCTTGTAACTATGGTTGGAAAGGAAATTGAGCAGAGCCAACATATGTTTGCTTCATAACTTACCCTCTTCTCTAATGATGAGAACATCCAGAAAGAGTAATGACGTATTCTCTTCCATTTCCATTGTGAACCTAATGTTCCTTTCACGCTGGCTAAATGAAAGTAGGAAACTATCTAAACTTCCCTTATCATAAGGCCAAATTACAAAATAGTCAACCATGTATCTAACCAACAATTTGGTGGTTAATATTGCCTCTTGCAGGAAGTGTTCCTCCAATCTTGCCATATAATTGTTCGATAAGATGGGAGACAGGCAAGATGCCATTGCTAATCATTGCGTTTGTTCGTATACCTTACCATCAAAGGTAAAATATGTGATACTCATGGATAGGTTAATAAATCTAATAATGTATGCTACACTTAGCCTTATTCCTTGTGTTATCTCTGGACGTTCCTCCAGAGTTTGTATCAGAGCTTGAATAGCTCCTTGGACAGGAATGTTTGTGTACATAGACATAACATAGAGGCTTATTAGCCAATCTTCTTCTGAAATTGTCGGCTGCTGAATCAATTTTACAAAATAATACGAATTTTTAACTGAATATATCTAGAAATCCTATTAAGAGGACAAGCTTTCTTTGGCGGTATTATATGTTAAAAATGAGGGATCACCTCCAGTTCAATAATATTCCTTATCTCTTAGGGCAATCTATCAGATAAGCTAATTAATTCAACAAGTATGTCCAGAGAATGGTTTACCTCATTTGTAAGAACAAAATTCAGTCCTTTTTCCAATAAAAGTACTACACTAAACTCAAGGGTTGTACAAGATAAATCAATTACATTATCCTTCCCGAGTTTGCTACAACCGTGGTTAGTACGACTTGCCCTAGGCGCAAAGTTTCTCGACCTAATTCTAATTCCTAAATTTCGCAGCCTCTTATGTATCCGACGCGTAGTTCTGTCAGTCGCCTCACCTAACCCATCAGCCATGTCTTGTAACTTAAGGAAATCCACATCCTTCAATATTTCAGAAAGGGAATGCCTAAGACTAGTTTTGGTTCTAATTAGGTCGTGTAGTCTGCTAATGCTTTCCCTAAGCCTAGTTTTAACTAAACCACAAGATACCTGATCAAGTTTCCTATTGGTGGACATCGGTAGATTAAAACGTCTACCGAATAAACAACACATAGGAACAACATTATGAGAAACACAAATTTTAAAAAATCTAATTATATTAACTTGCCGGGATATAGTTTTTTTGATTATAGTGTAGCGAAAAGACAAATTTATTACTCACTCGAGGAGCGTGAAATAAAGAGCTAGTCTTCAATGTCATGAGTCTAGGATCGTATGGCTAAGGAGGAAATTTTGCCATTTTTTAAGCCGCCATTCCAGTTTACGAATACCACTTTGGGCCGATAAGACCCAATCGAGATTGAAGCTATTATACAGCCAGGATGAGAACGGCATTTTGTGATGTGGCAAAACAAAATAAAATGCTGGGATGACTTTCAAACGAAGTGAAAGCCAATTTAACAATTGTATATAAGGATATCCAGCAAATATCAGTTTCCCTGATGATATTTATTGAAAAAATCAATCACTTCCTCCATTTCCTCTTGGGGCCATCCAGGATCAATTCTAAAAAATATACATCTCGTCAAGAACCATCCCTGTAACTGATGTGAAACGAACAAATCTGTTATAACTATATAATTCAAGTTATACCGGAACTTGCCAACCGAAATTATGGATGAGGCTAAAGTAGATAAAGAGCAAAGTGCATGCTGCTAGAATATGCTGTCTGATAGAATATATTTGTTTCATTAAGTACCATTGAGTGAAACAATCAAACCGTAGACTGAGTACTGACTGAGAGGTACTGAGTACACTTTAAAAGTCCTTAGTGTACCAACCATACCGAATTTTGTGGCTAGTTACTTGATTTAATTAGGCTTATACCACTATGACAGAGGAGTTTAGACAAGGTGCGTTCACCAAGATAATGACCAAATTGCGAAAAGAAGGTCAAACCATCTCTATACGACCAATATAAAGGCTAACTATATGGGGCAGGAAAATGAGTTTCGCAATCGAGTATACCATTATCCATACTAAATCCAAATGGGAATCACAACAAAGAGAAATAACTGTTCTAAATGTATGAGTTAAGTGTGAAAAAAGCATTCATAAGATGAATTATCAATAAGTCTAGATGTTGTTGTCAACTCGATCAGGGCTTAAGACAGTTTCAACCGACCTAAGAAAAGTGGTGTCCCTTTCATAATAAAGCAAAGATTATTTTCACATTTAAGAAGCTGAACATAGCAACTTTTCATTTACCCTTATGATGCTGGTGTACTAATCTGAATATAATAAATTCATCAATAGTTTTCAATAGATTCGAGGGTCACTCATTTTGGTAGTAAGCTCATGTGTTCTTTAGTTTTCACCCACTTAAGTACTCAGTTATAAGTTTGTCTCTCTTTCTATAAACTCAATTAGTATCTGATCTTCAAAATTCGATGCACCAAGAAGCTAAAATGTCTTAAACAGAATTCCTAAACCAAATATTAGTGATAAAAAAGTTGTGGCATGACTCCCTATTTTGAAGCGAAAATTGGTTGGAAATTGGTTGATTTGGTTGGCTACTTCAACATTACTCTATATGCTTGCAAATTAGTAAAGTTAACTTCCCGAACCGGAAATGCGTTCGATGGCAGCTGTTTCATCACATAAAAGCTAGCGTACGATGGCCTAATGCTTCGCTTAGAGAATATTCAGACCCCCTTTCTAGATCAGGCTGTTGAAAGGTTTTGTGCTCATCTGATAAGGTATATGTGGGGGAGACCTGCCGACCAATTTACAAGACTGTGTAAACACGAAACCGCTTGTAAAGGTCTGTGGGTCCAAAATCTGAGTTTGCTGAACACATTGTCAATACATGACATTCAATAGACTGGTCCAAAACACGTTTTGTGGGTTATAGAGACTTCACGACAAAGCATGAGATTAGGGAGTATATAGAAATTTACAAAACAGCCGTCCTGAATAGGAGGAACGAGTGAAGAAAACTAGGTGTGAACTATATGTAGCTGTTGGCTAGACTTAAGAAAAAGGATAAAGGGGATGCATGAAGAGCCACTGAGCAAGAGGCTGAATTAGCCTCGTATCTAGCTAGGACTATCATACTACCTATGACATGAGAATTACATACACACAATAGACAATAGCACAAGCCTAAACATGATTAAGCATTAGACAATCGTACGCTAATTATTGTGTAATGAAACAGCTGCCACCAACGCAATTCCGGTTTGGGAAGTTAGCTACACTCATTTGCAGGCATGTAGAGTAAGGTTGAAGTAGCCAACCAAATCAGGAGAGGCTTCATTAAGCACGCGATATTAAGTGTATAAAAAGCGACTAGGGCTGCAGCCGGCCACCTTTTCCTCTTGGTTTTGTATATTTTTGCTCTATTTCGTAAAGTATGGAATCGTGCTCTGATGATGTCTGTCACAGTACAGACGAAAGCTTTGCACAATTTCATCGAGGTCGCAGGACGGTGAGCCGAGGACTTCTAAGCACAATTCAAAAGTCTTCCTTACGTGACAATCCTCCTTCGGTTTCCGGTGAGACCACATGAATTCCTTCCAACCAAATTTCCTTTATAAATGGAGAGTCATGCAACAATACTTATTAAGGAATCCTTCAAAGCCGAATTTTTCTTCATATAAAAAGTTGTGTCAATTAGGTTAAGAATCAGTAGTCTTAAAATATTACTCTACAAAATCACTTATTTTGGAAAATGACGGTGTTTTACCTGAAACATAGTGACGATAAGGGAATCGTTAAGCTGTTTGTGCCATTTCCAGGATGCCTGGGCTCGTTCCGCATCAGAAAGAGATTCATCTTCAGCCATAAGCTGATAATTGGTCTTTTGGTCGAACTCTGGTCCATATGCTACAACAGAACCACTCTTGCGAGCAGCATTAAGGTCTTCGTGAAGTCCGTCAAGCAGAAAAAGGAGAAATTCTTGACTGTCTTGCTGTTCAAACCCGGAAAATTGAGACCGGTAATGACCAACGATAGTCTATGCAGATCAGAAATTAAAGAAAATTTGGTATGGCTTTAATTAAATTTCGAAAATCGAGTCTTTATATCATCATTATGTAGAAGTGCTCAGGTACCAGGAAATAAATAAGATGAAATCCAGAGTAATGCTTTGTGACAAGGATGAACCAGAATTTAGGTCAGATAGAGATAAAAAATGGAATGAACATCAAACTATGAATATGAGGATATGCATATAAAACTAAACGTCAGCTTTACTGAACACCTGAATAATTCTTACATGGCAATTATCGACATATTAAGGCCAAATAGATCAATTTTACGATAAATAAAAATATAATATTTAAAATAATCTATTTTTTTTTATCTTTATTTTAGTGGGCTGCCCTTGTCAGAGACAAATGAAATCAATCCTTCGACAATCCTTCACAAAAGTGGATATGCCTATTTTACTGCGAACTAACTCAAAAATTAAGGCCAATATCGAAGAAATGGAATATTCGGATGGCCATGAAAGAAAAATCAACACTTTTCACAAGTCTAACGACGCAACATAAAAGTGTAGACAAATTGTTCAGGAGTTTACTGTATATCATGCGATGTATGCGAACAGAAATATATTGGCCTGGCAGTCAGGGAGATAGGCGGACGGATAAGCAAACCGTCACAAAAATTCGACGTTATGGCCAAAATGTACTAGAAATCCGCCTTAGATTCAACATACGAACAGAGATAGGCGTCCAAAT